ATTTACTGTTTAGATTTATTTTGGTTTTCTATTAGTTGACCGGATATCTAGAATTTCAAGGTGTCATTTGTTTTTTGTAATTTAGTGTTATTTTCATTTTAGGTTAGATCCGAAGATTTGGGATTTCGGTGTCCTTTTATCTTCTTCTTCTTCATTTTTTTACGCTTATTGTCTTTGTTTTGAAATTTACTTTTTAAAGATGTTATTTTTATTGTTGGTAACCTCGTGATTTACTCTTCGAATATGTTTTCTTGCTGTTAAAGTGTTGAAAGTTCAAAAATTATTTTTGGTCTTCTATATTTGAGCTGAAAATTTAGGTTTTGAAGGTTTTTCTTTTCTCTTTGTTGAAGATTTACTATTCTAATTTGTTATTTGGTTAGTTATTAGTTGATGATGAATAGTAAGTGTTCGAATATGTTATTTTGTTATCTGTGAACTGTGTTGTTTCCATTTTGAAGTTAAAGTTGAAGGTTTAGGATTTTAATGTCCTTGGGGCTTTATTTTTTTATACTTATTGTCTTTGCTAATTTTGTTGTTGGTGACCTCAAGATTTAGTCTTGGAAGGCATTTTCTTGTTGTTGAAGTGTTGGTAGTTCGAAAATGCTTTTTAATCTTCTATACTTGAGCTGGAAATTAGGCTTTGAAGATTTTTTTCTCTATTTTTTGTTGAAAATTTACACTTTCAATCTATTATTTTTTTTTATTAGTTGATGATGAAGAGTAAGGGTTCGAATGTGTTACTTTTTTCTCTATGACTTGTATTATTTTTGTTTGAAGTTAAAGCTAAATATTGAGGATTTTTATGTCCTTGTGGTTTCATTTCTTGCATTTCTTGTGTTTGATCTCTCTGCGTATTATTCATTTCTTGATCGCCTAAAAATTCTTGTGTTTATGTTGTTTCTTTGTCGTCCAAGTGCATTTTATCTATAGACACATACATGCAACTCATTGTCTCGGTATTCATTTTGTATAGTCGAAAAATTGCATGCCATCTCATGATTTTTATGTCCAAAGTGTCTATAAGTGCATCTTTTCATCTCCTATTTCATATTTAAGTTCAAGATTTACCATTTAAACCTGTTATTTTTCTATGAAGTTGAGAATTAGTCTTTGAAGGCAGTTGAGACGAAAAAATTAATTGGTAAGTGTGACAGAAGTGAAGAATCTGGAATACTTTATCCAAAAGTAAGTAAAATTTAAATTCAATTAAAAATCTGAATATTTTTTTGGCATGTATTTTTATGCATTTTTTCCTTTATGCCTATGAGATTATGAGAGTAAGGCATCTTTTTATAGTTTCTTTTAAGCTCAATAATTCTATATTAGATAATGAAGATTTCTTATAGCAGGTTTGACCTATAACTTAATGCTTGTTTTTTATGACAATGCTAAGACTTGTCTTGAGTCCATTAATATGTATATTACAGTATTGCATATGTTGAGTGATATTTGACATTACATTGTTGAAATTTAATTCAGGGTCATCTATGCCATTTGATATTATTGTGGTTGATATGCTAACATTTTAAAATTTTTCTCACTGCTTCTTGATAGTATTGTCCAGTTTGTTATTGCATTTTTTAGTTCATGATTCTTTACGTTTTAAGAAAAATTTTGGATTTTGGTGCCTTTATTCTATCTGGTTCACTATGGGTTTGAGAAAATGATGGTTCTGACCTATTAATTTCATGATGTTTATTGACATGGTTGTCACCATTCTTCTTAGTAACTCAAGTTCTTGAAATTCTTAAGTTTGATGTAACTATGTTTGACAATTTGTTAATCCATTTTTTATATTTACAGTCTTTATTTTTGGATTGTGGTCTGTGATCATCGATGTTTTGGCAGATTATCCACGTGATTCTGTTCAGTTTATCAAGTGGTCACCTACTTCCTTTCCCCATGTCTTGCTTACAGCTAATTTTCATGGTCGGATTACCATCTGGACTCAACCTTCTCAAGTATGCTAGCCCTGTTGGGCTTGTTGAATTATGAAACTATAACATTCTCGTTTCTCAAACATCTTACTGATTTGCTGCTAAAATACTTAGACTAGACAATACTTATTCTCGGTCACAATTTTTTCACATATGGTCTATGTTGAAATACTCTTCTTCCATGTTTTTATTGAGCTCACATTTTTTTATTCATTCAGGTCCTATCCTATCTAATGAATCATTAATCTATGAATAGTGTCAAAAAATCAAAATAGAGGAATACAAACTTGTTTTACTTCTTTAGCGACTCACTCAACCATGTACAATGTACAGATAAACTGAAGAACACAAAATAATTGGTTGTGAGGAAGATTACAAACGAAGAATAAGACAAGTGGGAAATAAACTCCGGATAGTTTTTGTCGAAGAATTTTATTGCACATTTCATTCAAGATTAGTAGAAAATGATGCTACAGCATTGATACTATTGATAAGGTGGTAAACCTTTGGAAGTTCGTGAGGAACAAGGTTATCCTATAGATATATCATGAAAACATTTATAAATTAATACGAACATTCTGATGCCAAAATCAAATTATTGTTCTAATTTCCGAATTCCAACATCATGCACTCCGGTGATTATTGTCCCAAGGGTAAAGAGTTGCACCAGTATTGACAATTTTTGGATAATATAAATGTTGGCCTACGGTTGACTTCTCGTCTTGATTATAACAAAGATATTTTATTTAACAATTGTATTTAAGTGATTATAGAAGTTTACAACAAGCGGAGCTCTTGCAAGTTTGGACAAAGTGGAAACCAAGTTACATATCAAGACAACGATCACTTCAAGAAGAAATTAGAAAAAAAGTTTATTTAGACACCTTGATTTCAAATGTTAAGGTAAAACACTTTAGTATTTGACATACACGTCATTTGAAGCTCAAGCAACATTTCTTCGCACGACAAACTTGATTTTTGCATAAAGAAAAGCATGAACATATTACATACTTTAAGAAATGTCAAAAAGTCTGTAAAACATGTTGGAAACATCTTTCATAAAATTACATTTTACTACATTATTTAAAGAAAGAAAAAATCCAAAAAAGTGTTGTTCTAGAGGACGAGTCCGATTATTCTAGCGGACGTTCGGTATGATAGGTTGGTCCAACGATCAAGAAATCGAACGTTCTGATTTCTGAACAAAAAATGGTTACTTGACCGTCCGGAAGATAGCGGACGTCCGGAAGAACAGAACTTTCGACCCTTTTTGTTGCTATAAATACTAGATCACTTTGCATTCAATAATACACTTCATACGAGCATTTAAAAGTGAGATATCACTAATCTATCTACTCAATCACCTTTATACATCTATTTCTCCAATCTATTTATTAAAAAAACATTTGATTGATCAAACTTTTGAAAATCATTCTTATCAAAGTGTTTTTCTTTTCTAACACTTGAGCTTCAATTATTGCTATCTACTAAAGCGTTAGCCATCTTCTCTTATTGTATTCAACTTTAATTATATCATTTATTGCAAGAGAAGTCTTCACTTGTATACTCCTTATCTTTCAAACTTGTGGGTTGAGTTGAAATCCCGAAAATTTCAACATTGTAAAGGAACGGTGTTCCTTGCTTGTAAGTCACTGAAAGCATTGTAAGAAGGTTGGATTGCACTATAAATCAATCAATATAGTGAAAAAGGCCTTGCTCGTGACGGAAAGCTTGGTAACGGGGGACATAGATCGTGATTGGATCGAACCCCCTTATTACATCGTTTGCACTCTCTTTTCCCTTCCTCTTATTACTTTTGTGTTATCTTGTTTATTCATAGTTATTTGTTTAAATTTGTGCTTATTTTCGAAAAAGGATTGAATAACCAATTCACCCCCCTCTTGGTTAGTTGTTTTTGGGCTTTCAAATGGTATCAGAGCTTGATACTCTTTTTTTTTATTCTACAATCTTGAGTAATGGCTAACCAAGTTTTTCAAAATAGTGAGGGGCACTCTACAAACCGACCGCCTTTCTTTAATGGTACCTGATGATTCCAGATCTCGTTATTATCGAACCTCGACTACTTGACCCCGATCACACCTCCAACCCCGACCTTATCATCATCTTAAAACACCAAAACCAGCTCGGGTATTTGAGGTCGGGGTAGATGTGTTGACTCGTCAACTTCCATATGTGACCTATGAAAGCACTAATCCTACCTTGAACACAATCCCTACCTTCTTAGGCTCCTTCTTTGGCTCAAACAGTGATTTGAATACATGAGGTGAAACACCAACTCCTTTTCCTACGAGGAGAAGGATTGTGGCAGAATCAGTCCTCCTAAGACTCAACCACTAACACCTATAAATATGCAACCTGTGCTCATTCCAAAGGTACGTTCTTCATTATTATCCTCAGTTTATAGCCTCACGCATAAAATTCCCTGTCTGACTTAAGCATCGGAGGGGCGACGAGCACACACCTCGTTGTCTTTGTTTCAGGTACTGGAATTCGCAGTTCGTGTTCCATCCCAGTCATCAAGCTCGAGATTTTCAGATGATATTTTTTGGTAGCATCAGTACCCATTATAACTATTGGAAGGCTAGGATGATGATATATGTTCAATCTATTGATTACAATATTTGGGAAGTTATTGAATATGATTCATATGCTCCCACTAAAACTATTAAAGTAGATGGTAGATCGGACCAAACTCTCCCTAAATCTAGAGAAGAATATGATGATGAAGATAAAAGAAAACTATCATTAAATGCCAAGGCTAAAAATCTACTTTATTGTGCACTTGATAGAAATGAATTTAATCAAATTAGTACATGTGATTCGGCATATGATATTTGGCATGCTCTTGAAGTTACTCATATTGACACAAGTAAAGTTAAGGAAACAAAGATAAATATGCTAGTTAAAGAATTTAAAAATTTCTTTATGAAACAAAATCAGTCTATTGTTGATATGATTACTCGTTTTACCGATATTGTAAATGGTCTTAAAGGCTTTGATCGTAAATTTACTAACGGTGAACTTGTCAGCAAAATGCTTAGATCCTTATCGGAGGAATGGAGTCCATTGAGGATGTTAATCGAGAATACTAAGGATATAAATACATATCCTTTGGAAGAGCTCTTCGGTACATTAATGACCTATGAACTAAACAATGCCAAAGTTAAGGAGAAAACAAGAAAAAGCAAGGGGGAATCAAAGGAACCTCCTAAACGACAAATTGCATTAAAATCGGTAATCGAAGAAGGAACTTCAAATGAAAATATGAGCGATGAAGAACTTGATGATTTGGTCCTTCTTGAAAAAAAATGGAAAGGTTTTCGTAATAATAGAAGATTCCAAAAGAAAGAAGAAAAAGGGGAAGATAGGAACAAAAAGATTGTTTGCTATGATTGTGACAAGCCAGGTCACAGGAGAACCGAGTGTCCAAACAAAAAGAAAAATTTTAAGAAAAAGGCACTCCAAGCCACATGGGATGATAGCGAGGACAAAGAACAAAATGGGAATGATAGTCAAGATGAAGTGGCAAATATGTGCTTCATGGAAATCGAAGACAAGGTATGTTCTTATGATGAGCTTTCAATTTCCTATGATGAAATGCTTGAAAATTTTGAAAAACTCGCTTTAAATCATGCTATTCTTAAAAAGAAAAACTCTAGTTTGAAAGAAGAAATTAAGAAAATTTTCAAAAAGCAAAGAGAGAGTATTGATCATGACTTTTTGATAAAAGAAAACATTTCTTTGAAAGAAAAGGTTAATGATTTAACACAAATTATCTATAAATTTACCAAAGGTAAGAAAAATTTTGATTTAATGCTCGATAGTCAAAAGTGTATTTTTGATAAAGGAGGAATTGGATACAAACCCTCTCTAAAACAAAAATCACTCAAAAATATGTCTGTTAAGGCTTCAAATATTTCATGTAACTTTTGTAATAAAAGTGGACATATTGCCTTTAATTGTGTAACTAAAAAGAAATAATTTTTTTAGAACAAATACAAGTGGATACAAGAATCCACAAAAACTAACTATCAAGGACCCAAATTTGTGTGGGTACCAAAAGTCAAAACTTAATTTGTCCTTGTAGGTACTAAAAAGTAAATGATTCTTGGATAGTTGATGCTCGAAGCATATGATCGGAGACCGATCATTGTTATCAAACTTCCAAGAGAAGGATGGAGGCCATGTGACTTTTGGAGATAACGCCAAGGGTAAAATAACTGGCTTTGGAAACATTGGTAACCACTCTTCCCTTTCTATCGAAAATGTTTTACTCGTTGATAATCTTAAACATAATTTACTAAGCATTAGTCAATTATGTGACAAAGGTTATAACATAAAATTCGATTCTTCCAAATGCCTTATTAAGGATGCTACATCAAAAGAGGTGATTTTTATAGGAAGTCGAAGTAAAGATGTTTATATTATAAACATTGAATTGGAAAATAATGAAAAATGTTTACTTAACTTGAAAGAAGAACATGGTTATGACATAGAAGACTTGGACATGTAAACATGGATCTTCTTTCAAAAAATTCCAAAAATTGTTTTGTAAAAGGTTTACCGAATTTGAAATTTAAAAAAGATAAAATTTGTGATACTTGTCAATTTGGAAAACAAGTAAAAAGTTCTTTCAAATCAAAAATTTATACTTCAACCAAAAAATCATTACAACTTCTCCATATGGATCTTTTTGGACCTTCTAGGACGGCTAGCTTAGAAGGTAAACATTATGTTTTTGTTATTGTCGATAATTTTTCAAGATTTACTTGAATTAAATTTTTAAGCTTAAAAGAAGAAGTTTTGAAAACTTTTAAACATTTTTGTAAGAAGTTGAAAATGAAAAAGGCTATTCCATTTCAACTATTAGAAGTAACCATAGTGGAGAATTTGATAATGTTGGGTTTGATGATTTTTGTAAAGAACATGGATATGAACATAATTTGTTGGCTCCTAGAACACCTTAACAAAATGGTGTAATAGAAAGGAAGAATCACACATTGCAATAAATGGCTCGAACTATGTTAAATGAAAATAACTTGCCTAAATATTTTTGGGTCGAAGCCGTTAATACCGCTTGCTACATTATCAATAGAGTATTAGTAAGCAAAAGGAAAACCAAAACTCCTTACGAACTTTGGAAAAATAGAATTCCAAATATTGGTTATTTCCAAGTTTTTGGATGTAAATGTTTTATTTTAAATACAAAAGACAATTTGAGAAAATTCGACTCCAAATTCGATATTGGAATTTTCCTAGGATATTATCGACTAGCAAAGCATATAGAGTTTTTAACAAACGAACTCTAGTCATTGAAGAATCCATGCATGTTACTTTTGATGAAACTAACTCATTTGATCGAGAGAAAGGTAGTGGTGACGATGTAGGTTTGGAAGCTCCTTTCGAACAAATGAAAATTCAAGACCAAAATAAGGAGGCACCAAATGGAGACATAGAAAAGTCAAATGCTTAAGAAAATGAAGAAAGTCAAACCGGAAAACAAAGTGATCTATCGTTACTAAAAGAATGGAGATTTGTTCCATCTCATCCCAAAGAGCTAATAATTGGCGATGCATCAAAAGGCATCACTACTAGAACCTCTTACAAAAACCATTTTGGTAGTTGTGTATTTATTTCTCAAATCGAACCTAAGAATTTCAAAGAAGCCGAGTTTTATGAGTTTTGAATTTTAGCGATGCAAGAAGAATTAAATCAATTTGAAAGAAATCATATTTGGGACTTAGTCGCTAGACCAAACAATCAAACCATTACTGGAACAAAATGGATTTTTAGAAATAAAAAGGATGAAAATGGAATAATTGTGCATAACAAGGTTAGATTAGTGGCCCAAGGTTACAATAAAAAAGAAGGTATCGACTTTGAAGAAACATTTGCACCCGTAGCAAGACTAGAATCCATCCGTATGCTTCTTGCATTTGCATGTTATAAAGATTTTACACTTTATCAAATGGTTGTTAAAAGTGTTTTTTTAAATGGTTTCATTCAAGAAGAAGCTTTTGTTTAGCAACCTCCCGGTTTTAAAAATCACAAGTATCCAGATCATGTTTTTAAACTTCAAAAGGCTCTTTATGGTTTGAAACAAGCTCCTAGAGCTTGGTACGAACGGTTGAGCAAATTTCTTCTCTCAAATGGTTTTTCGATTGGAAAAGCGGATACTACACTTTTTATAAAAACTCATAAAGATGATATGCTTATTGTTCAAATTTATGTTGACGATATTATATTTGGCTCTACAAACATACATCTTTGTGAAGAATTTTCAAAATGCATGAGTAAAGAATTTGAAATGAGCATGATGGGTAAGTTAAAAAAATTTCTTGGCCTTCAAATTAAACAAATGAAAGAATGAATTTTCATAAATCAAAATAAATACATAGTAGACATGCTTAAGAAATTTGACATGTATGATATCAAGCCTATGAATACACCAATGAGCACATCTCTAAAGCTTGATAAGGATGAGCAAGGTACATCCGTGGACGTCACAAAAGATCGAGGTATGATCGGATCCCTTCTTTATTTAACTGCTAGTAGACCCGGTATTATGTTTAGTGTTTGCTTATGTGCTCGCTTTCAATCTAATCCTAAAAAATCACACTTAAAAGCTGTAAAAAGAATTTTTCGTTATCTAAGTGGTACGAGAACTTTAGGACTTTAATATCCAAAAGGCACTCATATTGACTTAATTAATTATTCGGATGGCGATTGGGCCGGATGTAATGTTGATCGCAAAAGCACTAGCGGAAATTGTCACTTTCCAGGCTTTGCACTTGTGTCTTGGTCTAGCAAGAAACAAAACTCTGTTGCATTATCCACCACTGAGGCAGAATATATCTCGACCGCTAGTTGTTGTGCGCAAACACTTTGGATGAAACAAACTTTATGTGATTATCTTTTGACTTACAATCATATACCTATTTTATGTGATAATACTAGTGCCATAAATTTGTCTAAAAATCCCGTTTTACATTCACGTACTACGCATATTGAGATTCAGCATCATTTCCTTCGTGATCATACTCAAAAAGGAGATATTGAATTGAAATTTATAAAGACCGAAGACCAATTGGCCGATATTTTTACAAAACCTCTAGCGCATGATCGATTTTCTTGTCTTCGAAGAGGTTTAGGTATTCTTGACGAAAATGAAGTGAATTAAGCGTTAAATCATTTATTTATTTTCCTTTTTGTTTTATGTCTTTAATCTCTCTATTCTATTAAAAAATAAAAAAGGGTTTCGGACGAGTCCATCGAACGCATCCGATACATATCGAACAACTATACCGGACGCGTCCGATATATTATCCGATTGGACAGAAACTTTTTCTGTCCTACCGGACGTTCGGTACACTAAAATTTCAGATTTTTAAAAACGCGACAGGTCATTTTCTCCTCATTTTTTCCCACTTTCTCCGGTCTTCTTCGAACTCTCCTCCTCTCTTCACTCAAATTTCTTCATCCACTCTAATATGTTACAAACTCACATAAAATCCATTAACCCACTTCATCTTCTTCATCTCTCCCTCACAATTTTCGATTTTTGTTTCCAAATTTCTCATTTCCCCAATTTGTGCCCTAACTCTCCATTTTCAACATTTTGCCTCAATTCAATCAATGTCGAGAACAAAGCAAGCTAGAAAAAG